AACTTATGGTTAATAAGAAATTGATTCAATCTAACAGTTTAAATAGTTAACTATTTGATTGATGTTTTCCATCGTGGCTTTATTTACATTTTTTGTCTTGAAGTCTGAATTCATCAAACTCTATGATGTAAATAAATACCAAGAAGAAAATTAGATTTAATCTTCTTTTTTTTATTTTGTAATTGTCCTAATATTTGTCTTACTAATGTCAGATTGTAAGAAAATTAGATTTCGGTAAATATGTACGGACTTTAAATATCATTTACTTTATGACATACATATTTCACAATATAATAATTTTTTTTAAAAATTAATCTGTCACTGAATTACATATTTACTTTTGATAGATCTTTCTTCATCTGAACCGAATAAAGCCATATTAGTATCTTTCCAATTATATTCCTCCATTGAAATAAAGCAGTCAGTAATAATTTTATCGCCACACTAATTAGACAAAGAAAGATATTACAATAACCACCTGTACTCAAATATATATATATATATATATATATATATGTCATGAATACTGTAATCAATAGGTCTAAAAATTGAATACATCTGAATGGTTGGTTGTCTGTCATACCACCAAGAATAACAACAAAATATGAGAGAAATTAATGTTATAAGCAAAACGTTGTCCAGTGATTTTGTTGATAAGTAATTAAACGAAATAAGTTGTAAAGTATCTAAGAGAGAATTGATTTACTTCACAATTTTATTTTCATTTCTTAGTAAAATTTTTATGTTATTAATTATATGACTAAATTTCTATGTATTGTTTGACATATAATACATCCCACTTATTAGATCCTAATACTGAAGAAGTTCAATATAGTCTTTATTTAACAAAAGCATCAGACCAAAGTTAAGATAGTACGGCCAAGATCGAGGAGAGTCCGTCTTCCCTATCGAAATGCTTTCACATGGCTACGCATATACAGCCTCTGACAGGGAAGCCCTATTCACTGACTTCTCGTGGCGGGGTTGTTGTTTACGAAATCAAGAAAATGAAGAGCGGATGTCTGGCGCTTTAACTTGGTTAGTGCATATGAAGGATCAACCTAGAGGAGTTGGAAAACCCTGACTTTAAACTAATGACGCACATAGGCTCTAGTATCCTGAAGTAACAAATGGTGTTGGTCACTGGCTGCCATGGGACTTCATCCCTTAACGTTGCTCTACTACTTTGTGGATCACTTTTGGGCCGAAGTCTTCGGGTATGGCCTCCTAAGAAAACTACCTGCTTCGGTCTGGGCACCCGAGCGGTATCATAGACCACACGCCAAGCATATTATGTGTGGCACATATGTATTTGATGTCCCTTTGTACCAATATTAATGTATCTGAGTAAATAAATAATTTCTTAATGATATTACTTTATAGGAAATAGGTCACTCAATCAAGAATCATTTTTCTATTGATTAACAAACCGGATGAAATGATCGTTCCGGATTCCACTGCTAGCGACCATCCATCTCTGCTTAAAAAGTTTTATGACTTAATGATAATATTGAGGCAATCCTCATAACATGCACATAAGCGAAAAGAAAGTGATAAGTTGCAGTCCTAAGAATCAATTCTAAGATTAAAATAATCAATACATATAAATTAAAATTCACTCGATTGCATAAACCAATGGTTTTCTTGACTCAGGAGCTAAATTCAAAACGTGATAGCGTTTGAAGTGAACGATTTTGGGTTCAAGTTCAGAATTGAAAATTGACTCTGTCACATAGATACATTCAGCTGACACCTTAAATAAACAATTAGTTTAAAGAACTCTGTTTTTAGTCAGCTCAACTGATAAAATTGAAATGGAAATGACAAACTAAATCATTCTAGTTGATTTCAAAAAATCAGATGATGTTAAGAATTACATTACTTTTTAGGGTAGTTTTCAGGAAATTCTCCTACTAAATTCACGTTAAGACGTCTAACTCATTTATATTTAGTAAACATAAAAGAATAAACAAAGAAATTATAGACATAAAGGTCTTGAAATATTTTAATCTTTTAATGAATAATGGAGTATATAGCAGAACGATACCATTAGATTGCAGCTCAGTAGCTTAAAGGTTAAGCATTCTCTTTGGTCTCAAAGAAGTCACACTGCATGGTAGTTCTATATTAAGACAAAATGGCCATCAAGTGTTTCTTAGTTGTCTAACTACAATCAATTTATGATACAATTTATAGTAAAAACAAATCGACCAAATCAATTATCGGTTATCAAAATAAATTAAAGCATAACCCTATGTTTATAAATCAATTAACTAAACAGTCTATACATATAAGGTGATAAAACACGTGGTTTGCTATACTTTTATACATTTCTGACTTGATCATACAATTTAATGATTAATATTTTTTAAAATAAATAATAAGATAATGGACGTTGGCAACTAACTACACATTTTACCGACATTTTTTACGATTTTCTGTTTGCTTGTTTTTTTAAAAAAAGTGATACGATAAAATAAATTAACTATTACACAACAACACAACAAACTAGAAGAAAGAATGAGAGTTAATGAAAGAATAAAAAAAAACGTGTTTGTTTTAAATAAAATTCACTAATTTATTTATCATTTGAATATAGAATAGTTAAATAGTAATAAATAAATAAACAAGATCATTTTAGAAATTATAATCATTATAAGCATTTCAGTACTAATTAGAAATACATTGATATCGACTATTACTTATTACGTTCTTTTTTTGTTTGATTAATCATTAACTAATTATAAAACGTACGATTGTAATCTCTAATATTAGTTTATATTAGATAAAAAGTGAATGTTTATTTCAATAGAATTTATTCAGTTGATTCATTTAAAATAAACTACAATAAATACTTGTCTTATATAGAGAGATAAATAAATAGATAGATAGATAGAGTACCACATAAAATCTTTAAGCATTGGACGGCCATTTCGTCTCCTCAGCAGTGCGCAAGATTCGAACCCAGGATCTATAAGTGTCGCGCGTGAACTTTTAACCTCTAGATCAATGAGCTGGCATCCAACGGTGTTATTGTCTAGCTTCAACTAATTCATAAAATCGCATATATATATATATATATATATATATATATATATATATATATATATATATATATATTCATAAATGATTAGAAAAGATAGTTTTGAATAAAAGATTAAAATGAAGCAGAGAAGTTGTGAATTATTTTCCAAATTTCAATATTAAGCCATCATATTATGAATGACCATCAGGATGTAGATTTGAAAAAACTTTCGGCCAATTTTTTTTATCATTCAGATTGCATTAGATTTGACTTGATTAACTAATCTATTAATTAATCGTATTTAATATGATCGCCATAATTCATTGAATGATCATTGCTTTATTCAATGTATGTGATTAGCATTATTTTCATATCATCTTCTATTTTTGAAAATATTGTTTTTAGAGTTTGGTTTTGTTTTGAGAATATCGTTGAACGCTAACCAGTTTAAAAATGATTGTCCGCAATTATAGTGATATCAACTCTCTGAAATGAATGGTCGTATTCTAATCGGTCTACAGTATTTAATCACAATTAAATGATCGATGGATTTAAATATTTTTGTATTTGTAGACCTACAGAATATAAATATACATAACTACAATGAATTTTTAACTACTTCGATGTTGATTGAAGTTGGTCATTAACAGTCAATTAGATGATGTCAATCTTATTACGATATAGATGTCCAATTTAACTAAAAATCAGTACATGTAACGTTCAAATTCCAAATCTCAATGGAATATAACATCCAATTTCATCTATGTGCAATCAACTTGGTTAATTATTCATTTGTTCCGTCATAATTTACTGATAATATATCAATTTTTTAATGTATAACGGTAGACAACTTAAACTAGTAAAAATAATTAACTAAAAGTAATGACTAACTTATATGTGTAATTCACTGTATTATTTTGAAGAAAACTATGTTATGATAAATTATCATAGATAGTCAAGAAAAAATTTTTTGTAATCCAATTTATCCGTGTTAAAATGACCATATAGTAGACTAAACAACATTCGAATCTTGCGAGCGGGATCTTGGATGAGCACAGCTGAGGAGTCCCATACTAGGACGAAACGGCAGTCCAGTGCTTTCAGTTTTAACATCAATCGGTACATGACGATGCTAAATAAACTTTCATTATACGGTTTTTGGAAGTGTGTAAGGTATTTATTACAGGTTATCAATTGATCAAAACCCTGATCATTTAAATTGCACGCACTCTACAATAACAAAATTAAAGATTATATTGGTCGTACATAAGAGTTAGAAATTCTCTGTCGTTAGTTTTGAAAACTATAAGTGATCAATCTCCATTAGATAACCAGATTGATGATATATATTCATACAATTATTAGATTACTATGTGAACAGGTTAACCATCAACTTTACAGAAATTCTTCAGTAACATGACCTAACAGTTCATGATGTATAAAGCTAGAATTCTTAACATCTGTTAGGTATAACATTCAAGAATGATATAGTGTTTTGAATCATTTATTCATAGTAAATCCGGATGTTTAACCTAATCAAAAGGTCTGTTTGGAGTCTATTTAATTTCGGATTTATAATTCACTGTAATTGTTTTTATTTCAAGAAAACTTCAAAATCTTTTACAGTTGTTTAAATTGTATGTTTCTTGACTCATTTCTCTTATCGTATATCTTTATGTTCAGTTTTTTTCTCAGAATGTTCATGTTTAGTGTTGTTTGTGAATACAGTGAAAATTGAATTATTCAACTCACTATAAAAATACCTTGCAACACCCAAGCAGAAGTTTTCCCCGATTTTATTTTCGAAAACTTTTTTTTCAGTAATCTAAATATCAAACGGATAACAAGTAAAAATCCACTTGTCGTTCTTTGCTTGCAAACACATTCATTTGACGAGTCCCAAATAGGACAAAACACACATCCTAGGTTCCATTGCTAGCCACTATTCATCTTTGAATTAGAAGTAATTTAAAAATTGTAATCAAACAATATACATTATACTGACTAACATTTTTTAATTTAAATTATATATTATGATAGATCTGAATCACTGTATTATATTCAATCACCAACTGTTAGTAAAGCTGATTAAATTTTTTATAATTTAACATTACGTAATCATATATTGCGTAATAATGTATTAATCAACGTTAAATATCTTTCCACTGTCAATTCAAATATATTAATATACACATAGTCAAAAAATTGTATTATACTAATATCAAAAAGAAAAAAAACTAGTTTTTGTAATAAATACTTTGGAAGAGAATAAAATAGTATCTAAATTAGTTTTTGTTTTTGTTTTTTTTTGTTTTTTTTAAAAACCATATATGGATATTATCAAAAAAGAAAAAAAAACGATTGACCATCGTGAACTTATAAAAGAAAGTGTGATCTAGAGCATAAACTATTTATGAAAAACAAAAGAAGATATAGTTTGATATCAAATATAAAAGCTAATATCAGCTAAATCACTGTAATCATTAAATTTGTATTTAGAAAAAAACAATAGTTATTACTTCAGTTAACTACAAAGAATAAAAATAATAATGCAGTGATTGATCGCTGTGTGTGTGTGGCTGAGTGTGTGTGTATGTGCTTTTATCAATAATATTAAGAAATAATTTCATACAAATTCAGTTATATAAAAGTCTAATAATTATTTGTTTGTTTTTATTTATTGTAGATAACTTGTAGCTCTATCTCTGTCCCATGCTCGTTCGAGTTCTTCTGAACTTTGATTAGAACCAATAACAGTAACTGGGATAAATGGATGTCTTGTGCTTTTTAAGTAATGCTGGTTGTTTTTTTGAGAAAAAAAGAAAAAAAAGTACAATGCTTTAATCATTTTAATTAAATAACAAAATGAATTCCAAAATGTTGCTCTTTATCAGTTGAATAATTATGACTAATCCGTTTTCACCTCATTAAAATAGTTTCAATGTAATTTTCTTTCATTATATATATATATATGACTCTTTTATAAGAACGATGAAAAATTAGTTGACTAGAAATGTTTGCTGATGTTTTAGTATGAATTCAGTAATCTAAAAGAACCATAAATATAACTTGGAAATAATTTTTACAAGGTTAAAGCAAGCTTTTGTTATTTTTCAACTGATATTGTTTCATGAAAATTAACGTAATTTTAATAGTTGAAATCACGAGTCAATTGAAGCTAGACCATCATGGAAAACCTGGAAAGGCCGTTTCGTCCTATTGCGGGACTCCTCAGAAATGCGCATCCACGACCCCTCCTGGTAGGGTTCGAACTTAATTTTATTTAAAGATTGGTATGACGCAATTCTATTTCATGTCCCCTGAAATAGTGTTCGTATTCATGTATGATCTAATTTCTTCCATACAGTACACAATTTATTTATGCAGTTGATCTAATTCAGTTCAATAAAAATAAACAACAGAATCACCATACATCAAATATGAATTCCCATAATAAAAAAATTAATAAGGAGGGATGACTTCAACAAAAATATTGTGTTATTTAAAAACAAATAGCATATAGATATGATAATCAAAGATTATCTCTATTCTATGTGTTACTTGTTCAATATTATATTCATAGGATAGAATTCTGTAAATTATAACTACGAATAAGGTTGACAGATTGTTATACTTCACATGATTATAATATAATCATATCAGATTAATACAAAAACTAATTATCTTACATGTGCATATGATAAAGCATTTTGCTTTTCACATGGTAAACATTTACTTCCAATGTAAATAAATAAATGATATCCTGCATCAATTAGAAAGACCTCATCTTCATTAACTGCTCTTTTAGGCAAATGATTTTTCACAACTAAATCAAATGATAGATTACCATCTTCATCAGATAGCCTGTAAATAAAAAGGAGAAATGTATAGACATAGTTTTTAGTGATTCATGTTACTGAAAAAAATGTCCTCAGTTTAAAAATTTAAATAACAATGAGCCAGGATCTTAAATTTTTTGCAGACAAGTAAACTGCATCGTGAACTGCATCAACAATATATTTCAAAGCTTTAAATCGTGCATATAAACTTTTATTGAGAGAAATGAGTTTGACGTCTATGAAGTAGTCATAGTGACACTAATTAATTTACAAATATAAACAATGAGTATAAAACCTGTCTATATTAAAGCTATACCATAGAAGGCTACTCTATTCAAGTAAGTGAGTCGTTGATACACTTTTTGATTATCCCGAATTCACTGACCAGCTATCATCAGTTCTCAGTGGCTGAATACTTGCTTACGACATATCAGAACTCTCAAAGTACAAAGCTTTAAACATCTATTCTATTTAAACAGTTAATTGTAGGCACTTTTATTTGTTACCATATACAAAATTAAATTTTGCATAACATTGACGCCCTAGGTTTGATGTAATAGCCATCTAGATTATGTTCCCATTCAACTCATTGACATACCAATATGGCAGTTTCACATAACTCAACTTGTAAACTTTCTTTTGACTCATTTACTACGTCTTCATTTTACCTGCTGAACAAACCTACAGTTTATTAACCACAAATACCCAACTAAGTTCTGTATGTGGACTTATTGGAACCTGTGTATTTTAATAGGTAACTGTCGTAGAATTCACACATATAATTTCATAACCCATGATGTAAATTTGAATAAATATGAAATTACTAATTTGGCCTTCTGTTGTTTTGAATCAGGTGAGAGGTTAATGTAAATCAAGTTCTATGCTTTGCTAAATGTATGAAAATTCTGTAAAGTAGAATGAAGTTTTATCATAAATGAAAGTGAAGTATTATAGACGATGGTTATTTCATGAGACATCTTTCCGTGTTATACGTATTGAATTAGTTCTGTAAATATCAATTGATATATAAATTTACTTATCATACTCCAAATATAACTAAGCATCAATTTCATGCAACTGGTTCCTTTTGTGAATATGAATCAAGTCAAAACAAATTAAATAAATTCATATTAATCCGCTTCAGTGGTTGTTTTAATTTTATTCAAACATCAATATAGTAATGACTATTTTTAATGACTTCAAGAAAAAGAGGAACCATGAAAAAAGTTATGATCATCATTAACTGTTTCAAGAAATTATTTCGAAAGTTATTTCAATGGACAAAATTAATGAAAATATTATGTATATAAACAAGATGTCAGTACTCAAATATAGTAAAACTTCAACTAACTTGTAAATACATTTTGTTGATTCACAGTACTTTTTGGGTCTGTAAACTGGTTTATCTGGTAAATAATGTAAGAATTCATCCTGGAATAGAAATTTATTCAAGAAAGTAACGTACATGAGTGAAAAATTTTCTGAGATAAAAATTATTGATGGATAGATGTTATATATATAACATATTTTGAAAGTGTTGGAACAATATAAAATATTTTTTGTTCAATAAAATATTATTTGTCACTATTACTACTTTCATTTTAAAATATTTATTTTTGTTATGTACTCAATAAGTATACTTTGATAAGAATTTTCAATTTATATATAATTTGATACTACTTTTAAGTATTATAAGTAGTTTAAATAGATTCGAATACTTAAAAACATTTACTAGTGGAAAGTAATCATTTTAAATATTCCTAAAGAATATTCTTTTCAGAATGAATTTTTTTGTAATATACGTTTCATCAAAACTTAGCCCAGTTTAATCGTATGTCAGTCTAGGTCTAAGCAACAAAACCACGGTAAAGGAAAGAAACATGAAAAGTCCTGTTTTATAACATTGTAAAAACTAATCAAGCGGAAAAAACTCACTCCACTATTTGTAAACAATTCATCCAATACAGCAGTTTTACAACGTCCATTACGTTCACTACTGACTTGTAGTAAGAATTGAGCAGCCTGAATAAAATAATGAAAACAAGTGAATAGGAATTATTTATATATTATTTAAATTACTTATTACTATATTATATGTTTTAGTTAAACATCAAAGTTTATTTGATTGATTTGTGTTTAGAGTAAGTGTTATGTTAACTACGAAGTTAAAATGGGACAAAACACAACTCTATAAATGTTAATAACTCAGCTAAAATAGTGCTGAACTCTCATTGATGTGTTAACTATCTTAATTCTTAACTTTATCCATGTTTTTCGTCACACGCACGATTTGTGATTTTTTTAAGCGACATATGTGTGTATTATTGTACACACTCAGTAAATTAATTGTTTTTGTTTTGGTGTTTTTACATTTTTTGTTAAGTTAGTAGTTGTTTTCGGGAATGGTTAGGATCCCTCAGTCCAGAGATAGTAACGGTTGAACTAGATACCTACTAGCATATATCAAGTAATTATCGAATGTTTTGGTCATACCTTGTTGATCTTAACTGTTAAGTAATACTACGTTGCTTCAATTCATATATATATATATATATATATATATATATATATATATGTCATTTTAATGGAACAGATAAATTATGAACTCAACACCTCGTGATCTTCAGGAATACGTATAAGAAAAGGTGTATATTACCAAGGTGTTACTTATGATTGGTTAAAACTTACATTATAACGCTTCTCCTTATTACTTTTTGATCCGTTCCACTGATATAGTTTTGAACCAAGATCAAGAATAAAAACGTCAGTAGAATCTAATGAATTAATTGAAAGATCCACCTCCTGTACTTGAAATCGTCCTCTGCCTTCTTGAAGGAAATGCAACAATCTTGGCTGATATTCATTTGGAGTTGTTCGACGGAAACCAGAGTCAATGCCACCATTCAGTATGCTACAACGAATCGATGAGTTAATAATAAACTTATAGCTTAAATGATTTGTATACCGTTAATCTTAAAGATTTTTTAGTTCCATAATGATTTGACTAATTGTTATTTAGTCAAAATTCACTAACATTAAGTTATCTCTTTCGTTAATGAAAAGCAATTCAATTTGAAAATGCCAAAAATTTATATTTCACCTTATGAGGTTGTTGGTGACCTACTGATTGGACAGAAAATAAAGATTAACAATTTTGACAGAAAACGTTATATTGATTCACATTAGAATGGTTGGTGTAATAAAATAGCTCATTTTGTAATTAGAAGGATTGAAAATAATAAAAAAAGAAACTAGTTTTCAAATTTTTTCACTCTAAAGATCACATTTTGAAATGTTTCTAATGTCAAGTTAACACATTTTTATCATTAATACATAATTTTAAGGAAAGCTTGATAGTGGCTAGCGGTAGAATCCAGGACTCGTGTTTTGTCCTCTTTGGGATACACCAGCTAGATGTACCTGCATCTCAGAGTTGATATTCACTCTGGGACTCGAACCCAGTATCGTTCACTTCAAACGCCATCGTCTTATCCACTTAGCTACTGAGTCCTGATAGCCACTTGCTTGTGCGGTCCTAAACATCAATGGGAAGATTCAAGTAAGCAATATCAAGTGAATTTATTACACCATTTATTTAATTATATAAAAAAATAATGTGATATCCGTTCTAATGAATGCCAGAACAAACACAGATGCAGAATATTATGAATTAATTATATTTCGTGGTTTCTCATTAGCTGTTTACAACCATATATGTATTAAATGTTTACGTTGAGGTAAGATATAGTGTAAAACAATCGACATAGATGAATGAAAAGAATTGGGATAACAAAGGTTATCAAGAATAACTATATATATGAGGGGTGGGTGATGCATGAAATAAGTGAGGTTAAGAGAGATAAGATAAATTGTGTAACAATTTTAGAGGTTATGAAAGATTTGCATACGATTCCAGGAATTTATAAACTCATAAGATGGGTTACAGGCCTTAGAGAGTTTACATAACTTAGTAGAATTCAGTTAATATATATAACGTAAATACAGTGAGGCGATCATACTAAAAATGGATTAATTAAAGTGAAAATAATAAATATAATCTAAACATCATTCATTCTATGTAGAAAAAAAACAAATTCTCAGAAAATGCTCCCTTTACAAAAAAATTAACTTTACGAGTATATGGTCTATGGCGTTCGATATAACACACGTGACATTGATCACCACCCAATGACTTGACGAGTATACTTAGAAGCACTTTTATTGAGTGAATAAAAAAATTGCTAAAAGAAATCAACTTATGTATTACAATTTGCATTAGTTTTACTTTATTTCATACATGGTGTTTCTCAACATATATCTTAACAGTTATAAAAAGACAACACATTTTCCAGTGTTATTGATATACCAAACAGGCCTATGGTAACGATTTACTAAACGCTAGTAAGCACTGAATATCTGTTTCATCCTAATATGGAACTTCTCAACAGTGTGCATCTATTACCCAACCACATGAAATGTAATTCATAACCTCCGGTCTCGCATGCGAACCTATAGACAAGTGAGCCGAAATCTATTGATGTATATTTTAAACTTAAATCAGTTCACGATATTGTTCAACCATCTTAAATTTTCTAATGTTATATTCTGAAAGTCCACAGCTGAACGAATCAACGCTTTGATTTCAGAAAAATCATATTAACACCGAAATTGATTTTAGATGATTTTATAAAACTAGGGCGCATAGTTTTTCATGACTGATATGTGAAATTAAAAAAGCATGTGTGAAAAATTATCTTTAAAGTAAAAAGTTTCACAATTGAATGAATCATAATTTCTAAATCACATTGCTGATTGTTTATAAACTAAGATAATCAACTAAACGGATGTCTTTTTTTCTTTCCGTAACAATTTTAAAACTGATAAAAGAGATTTTGTATGAAACATACATGTTATTAAGAAAAATAGTTCAGCATGATTATTAAAAACTTTAATATTGAATTCAATGAAAAATATCAAGTATTCATATTCATATTTTGATGAAGGTAGTTTAATAACGGTTGACAACTGTATATGTTAACCATTAATAATTGTATCCATTACATGAACTTGTAAACTAAATGGAACTCATTACCCTACGACTATAATTTATTCCAGTCTAATGCTAAAATTTGGAACTTAATTATCAAAAATATGAGAATCTGTAACATACCGGAAACATGAAAAGTAGGATTTAAATAAGCTTGATTCATATTGTTCAACTTCACGATGTTGAACAGCTTGGTCATCAAGTACAGCATCGAGTTCCACTGCCTTATAAACAGCTGTAGTATATTCTTCCTGTGTAAATACAATGGGATTTTTATAGTTATGACAGTAGCAAACAAGAACTTATAGCATTTTCATTAGTGATTAAATATTTAATCCTAATTCATTATAGATCGTGCAAAAGTATATTTGCTGTAAAACTGGATAGGATCCAATAGTCCGTTATAATTTAAACTCGATGGTACAATGTAAGATATTTATCAGTCATTATTTTGTGAGTTTTAAGTGTTTGGAGTTAGCCACCATGATATCTGTTGCAGACTGGTAAGTAAAGGATAGTCACTCCATCTAATATAGGATTTCACTAAACCCTTGAGAGATTTATGAAATAAACTTTCAGATAATATTAACAGACATTTACTTCCACACTGGTAAAACAGTTCGCAAGTTAAAGAATAAATCATTCAAAAACAAATTCAAAGCTTTCATACACAACACGAATAGTTCTTAAACATGCAATGTGACGTTATAAAAGGGATTGATGTCTTCATTTATTCTTAAAGTCCTCAAACTGTTTATTTCGACGAACTCATGTTAGTAATCAATTTGCAGAGCCATAGTTGTCTACCGAATGTCTTATGTGAAACAATTTTGTTGAACCCTTACTCGGAAATGGATAAACTAAATTCACAGGAAAAATAAGTCTACAGTACTAAGGATAATTAGTTTATATATACTTAGTTGTTATATATACATAATTATCTTTTTAATTAGTGTAAAGAATATGCATCGGTGGTTGGTCATAGTAGATTCACTAGTGATTGGCTTTGAGAAGTATATTTTGGAGTTCTAGTGAGAAGCCGTGACCAGTGGAGTCCAGACAGGTCTGTTGTGAGATATCGACTCACTGATAACAATGATGGACTGTGGTGCAGTTTTGCGGATTGCTTGAAGTTAGACATTCAGAACGTTAGATGCCGACTCAGCGATTTACAGGTCAAACGTTCGCGCGCAAGACCGATAGGTTCTGGGTCCGAATCCCGCGGGATCGTCGATGCACACTGCTGAAGTCTCATACTAGGGCGAAACAGCTGTCCAGTGCTTCCAGGTTTTCCATGGTGGTCTAGCTTCAATTGACTCATGAATTCAAATATTAAACTACTAAAATATCCACAAACCCCCCTTCTGATGATAACTAAGTGTTTATGATCTGATTTCACCGTTATTTATTTATTTTAAAATAGATTTTTCATGTTTTGTAATTAATTACTTGGCTTGTTTTTCCATGAAATGAGCATGAAAATCTTTGAATAATCTAGAAAGCTATTATGCATGTATTTTAATTGTTATTGTGTTGGAGATCATTCTAGAGGACAAAGAGAATGTATTCATTTTCGTAGGCTTCTAATAATCGATCACCGTATAATAATAGTTTCACCATTAGCAGAAGCTTTTATATTTACTCACTACAATCTCTGTTTAATGTATTACAGAAGGAAATATAAAATGGTTAATTTTTTTGTTTGTTATTATATTCGATAAATGTTAGTTATTCTACTTTCATTATAACTTTTGCAGAGGTTGAAGAATGAGTAAATAACTTTGTTATATAATATATATAATATCGCTATGTAAAGCTGAAACTTTCATATGATACTGGAGGTTCGCTATTGATATTGTGGATGGTTGGATATTACTTTAGCAGGTTTTGTTGACTGTTCATGCTCAAAATCGGTTCGCTGGTTAATCGATTTCATTCATACTGATGGTTGATTTTCAGTGTTCCCAAGGGACATTGTCATTGGGACATTTTAAGGCATGTCGCCATTACTAACATTAATGAGTTTACCCGTCGTGTAAGCGGAATAGGTCAACTTTAACCTGTTTGTGCTGTGTATAATTGACTCACGCGACCATTGATCGGAATAATTATACATGTGACGTGAATGTGTATATGAATGATGTTAATGGTCCACCACGGTGCTTATTACCTGTGTGGTCACTCCACAGGATTAAGCTGTACTATTCAGATTATAGGGTTAAAGCCTATATGGTGTCTGGCTCTTCTGTTAAACGGGATTGAGCTGTACTGTTTGGCTTGTCACGTGAAAGCCTAGGTGATATCTGGTTCTCCTGAAAACCAATGTAAAATTACCCTGACCCATAAAGGTATTTTATAGATACCTCTAATGAATATATACCTACTTCATTTAGATTTTTGTTTGTAACAACTGGTTATGATTTTAAACTACTTTATAACTGGGTTAATTTATTTTGTTAAATAAATATTTTGTTATAATTCAAAATTAAATTATTTAGTTTATGTATATGACGAAATGAACCAAATCTCATAAAAAATGTGAATATACTAAATTGTCTATCTTTAAGAACATTAAAAAGTATTTACAAAATATTTTACTTTGTAAATGATAATTTCAATTATACGGATCAATTAGTTACATTTCAGTACTGTTACACGTCTATCATAATTAATTAATTAGTTACAAATTACTTTTTTTCCAAATAAGAAGAGTTACTAATCAATTAAAAAAAACCAAAAACAAATCAATAAATCATACCATTTACTTATGAATTCTATATACATATTTATTGTATTGTCATATGGTATGTACTTTATATCAATAAACTTTACAAGTGAAACACACATTTGTAGAGGTAGAAGTTTTACTTTATCAATGGTTAATGAATTAGTTTAGGTTAATTGTTGAAATTTCAGAAAAAAACTTTTAGAGAATTAATAAAAAGAAGTAAAAATGAGTGTTCGAATAATTCTTTCTGTTTAATATTAACTTACCGGAGTACTTTTTGATCCGACCCAAAAGTGTACATCATAACCAAGTCCTCTCCCTTTTGGATATATATTCAAAACAATATATGAATCACCGTTGAAGAAATGACCATAATCATTTTCATTAACTGGTCTAATTTTAAATTTCTAGAATTGAAATAATAAAGAAACTATTTATTGATGAGTTAGGTAAAAGGAATAAAATTTTCTTTTACAAATATGTAGCATTGTGCCATTAGTTGATCACTGAGTGGTAACCAGTAACATATTTGGTTAGTCCTTTTGGTGCTGATCAACTTTTATCGATTAGGTTTCAATGCTGCCACTAGTCTTAATAACTCAACGTAGTATACACTATGGTGAGATGTTAAGCGATTGAAAGTGATCAATATAAAACCGTGAATTTAGATTTTGTGTTATTTTAACACTTGTCAGCAAGATGATACATGATCGATGCCCCCTTGATTATAGGTGAACCTTGTAGACGAGTGCCAAAATAACCTGAAACCTTGATTCGAGGTTTCTTGTGGACTGTCTCTAACTACTTTACATTCAACAATTTAAATTAAATCATCGCCATTGTCTTTGATTTGGATTAGTGAATCTCCGTCATTAGTTAATTTAGACTAGAAACCAAATTATTGAGAGTTTACATGGACAACTTAATATAACCATTTTGTTAATAGATTCGGTCATAGGATAATTATTTTTGGAATGCTTTTCAAATATCAAACTATGAACTTTTATACTCTATGCAACTCCCCTGTGTTCCATTTTTAAATTAAAAACCTTAAATAAAATTAACCTAATTGAATATTTACAATACTTCTTAAATTTAAATCTCATTTATAATATACTTTTTCTAAGCAAATACAAACAATAGATTTTCAACCAAAGTGTTTATTCAATCTGGTTAGTATCTGTTTATTTGAGCTACTACCAAGTAATCAATATCACATGCCAACTGAATGGCACTGCATGGTAGCTAAAATGAACGTGTAATTTTGTAATCCATATTGAATAATATGTTTAAACGTATTAGATAGGAATAACGCTTTTGTCATCACCAAAGTATCAATATAAGACACTAATTTTGCACATATATACAAATAAAAACAGCTAAATGTCGACTATTATCATGAAACAAATGTGTTCGAAGCAATTAGTAGTTTATTCGATACCACCATTTAAGTCGCAATAATTTTTCCGAAACATATAGGATCTATATAGTTACCGAAAATTTTATAGGAAGGAGCAGTTCTAAATTATTGACGCTATACATGAAAATAACATCTTATCGAAAATATAACTATAATCTCTGAACACACACGTCATTCTGGGTTTTTTTTTATCAGCATCTCAAGTAGGAATTATTTTTAAACACAAATAAAATTAAAAATAAACAAATAGATGAAAATCAATCTTAAATTAAAATATTTGCCAAATTATAACATACTTCAACTCTCCATACAAATAATCGTGGACAATGTGTATTCAAAACTGGACACCAAGCTTCTTCTTGTAAGCCGGATTCCTCTACATATAAAGGAAACAAAATAAAATGATTAATGTAAAATGAGTTCTTGTTTTATAAAAAGAAAATGAAAGACAAACAAATCGGTGCCTATTGAATTATGTAGTAAGTTGTGTAATAAGCTAATGATAATTCGAATGATAAATTTTCTTCTCGATACATCCATTTATCAAAGTCGTACAGTTGTATCTGTAATCATTTTTCACAATGTAGTCTGTAATAAAATAGAAAAATTATTGGGTTATCAATAAAGATATCAGGAAATTTCAAGCTTTGAATATAACTTACAAAACAGTCAAAGGATAATGGGAAAGAGATAAAATAAAATTAAAAAGTAGGATGATATGACTGGTAAGTATCGACTTAGCTAATGTAAAGAAATTAAAGAAGAGATGAACATGTGTCGAAAACAGACTATAAGAATGGTAGGGAATTATTTATGTTCTTTTCTGAATACGAGGATCAGGTAGGTATCGGTGAGTTTACAAAGCCTTTGCTACAGATGAAATTCTTATTCAGCTTTCATTAGGGCCAGTTCGTTTGACGTTTTGGGATGATCTTAGATGAGGATTGTTATGTAGATAGATGACTACAAATGACCAGATATTCAATAAAAGAATCATTGACTAATTCTCATTCGTCTGTAGATGACCATTCTGGGTAGTGTTTCGATATATTTCTGGAGAGAACATGATTTGTACAGAAAATATAACTCACCTCATAGCATCAAATAAACCAGTAGATGAACAATAAAGTGACCAGAGGCAGTAGTTTATGGCTGACACATCATAAGATCAAATATCTACTGAAGACTATAATCCACAGTCGATTGATTTCGATAGCTGGCTTTTTTAGATCTCCTCAGAAATTAATTCCGTACTACAATGGCTCTTTTAATTGAAGTGTTCGTTCCCGGTTACTGGTAATAAGTCTGGTAGTAAAGCTATTTGCCATATGCATTTGATAGATTTTATTCAATTCTTTTCCGACTATATTTTAAACAGGGTCTTCTATATCTACAGGTTAGTTCACTTTTGTATTGATTGCTTGAATCTTCCCATTGATGTTTAGGAGTGCAACTGACCAGTCCCTTATTGATGTATGTACAACCTGTACGGATTGCTTCGATATTGCCTCAAGTTACAAGCATTATAAGCTGAGATGATGGTGGCTAGCAGTGGAATTCAAGACGCGAGTTTTATTCCATTCAGGACTCGTGAGCTAGATCTACCTACATTTCAGAGTTGATATCCACGCCGGAATTCTGAGATACAGACACATCCAGCTGACGAGTCCCAAATGGGATGAAACATGCGTCCTGCATCCCATTGCTAGCCGCCATCATCCCTACATGTTAGAGGCTATGAAAGTCTTCTCTTCCTTTTTAATAGAACCCAACTTCCAAAATTTATACATCGTTCATGTCAGGTTGTTCTTCTATACATTAAATTTTGTTAAGAGCAGCCTGGTCTTCGTTTCTTCAAAGTATCAAAGAAGCGGAATTCTGTAATTGCCTGTGACTCTGCTGTGAATGTAGTCTTCTAGTGGCATACACTAAATATATGTGGGTTTCTAGTAAGTTCTCTCTCTAGTAGGATGTTAGGTGATGGTGTCATCCATATATCTTTTGTAGAAATAAAGACTGTCAATTGTTAACGACTAAATAAATCAGCCACAAAACTGTTTTTTAAAATAGAATTTAGTAAAGATCCCATCACAACTTCACTGATTTGTCTGATGAACACATTTTTACAGCTAGATTGTACATTGAAAATACATAAACATACTGATGTTACTATTTTCAAGATATATATGTATAAGAAGCAAAAAATCTCTAAGAAAGAAATTTTTGTGAAAACTGGGGTAAAATCTAGTGATATCATTCACTTTTGGCCAGATACATTAATGTCGGCTTCTGAAATGGCGAAAACAAATGAACCGAAGATCCTGTTTTATGAGTTATTATAGAGTTCCAACCCACTACTTGATAGTTACACTATAAATAAGTTGACAATTATGAATTCAAATGAGCATGAACCAAGAAGTAACTAATGTTATCTGTTCTGATTCATAATTTAACCTACTCTCTATCGACAAAATATATAATGTAATAATGGAACTAAAGAAGTTAATAACACTATGTACTTGTGTGATGATAGGTAACTGAAAGCAATGAAAAAGAATCTTCTGGCTTATCTTTGGCGCTAGTTCACATTAACCAATGCCCTTGAAAAACTAGAGTACCTTTATTTACTTTCAACCTGTAATAAGTAGATAACATTAGATAAGTTACTACTCAGTGGTCAAGTGCTAAAAGCGAATCAGTTTTTTAAATATTCAGTCAATACCTAAATAAACCAATGGCAACATCGGTGAGTGTCATACTGTGTGAGATGGGCTTGAACTCATAAGAAAACATTTTGTGTATTAATAAACCTTGGACATAAGTACAAAGCTTCTTTATGATTCAATTCAGCTATCTAATGTTGATTTCTTGTCTTGATTCTTCGCTTTGTATACTTAATTGTATTTTGCACATAAATTTTGGTTTTCTCTTTACGATACGAAAGTTAATAAGTAAGTGAACGGAAATAAGAACACTTAAAAACTTATATTTCATTTAAACAATTGCATAAAATATTTTAAAAATATGTTTCGAATATATACTCATTATTTTAGAATCTACGTAGATAACAAATTTCTGAATTTATTTAGTTTTGCTTCGTATTTAAACATAGTTTTTGTTAAGTTTTCAGTATGACAGTTTTTTGGGAAAATAAACTACTTAGTATATAGAAATTTCCTAAAGTTTATATTGCTTACACCTAGTGTACAATATTTAAACTTCAGCTTTTACTTATTAACGTCTACTTTGTAAAAAATATGATACTTTGAATCTATCTGTAACAAAGCAGTGGAGCTAATCCGTGTCGGGTGTGAGGTAGTTACCCACCAAAGATAATGGATGATGGTCGCACATAAGACCAAAGGTCCTGGATTGGAATCCCGCGTGTGGGATCGTGATTGTATACTGCTGAGGAGCCCCACACAAGGACGAAACGGTCGTCCAGTGCTTCTAGGTTTTCATCGGTGGTCTAAAATTCATTAATTCATGATATCAATTAAATACAAACGTGTTAGTTAGATCTCATAACGTTTATTTGAGTGGTAACTATTACTATTCAGTATGTTAATGTATACATTTAAGTGCCTGGCCTACAAGATTGCAAATGATATTCAAATGTAAACAATGATTGTTCACCTATTAAAGTGTTCATTTTTTTAATTAAAAGATCACGTAATTGATTAAGTCAATACAGTCCTTAGGTAGTAATAGATGATTGATAAATTGAATCCATGTATTTCTATTTCTTGCTTCGATAAAATAAGATGGATATATTTCTATGTGAGCAATTTATGTTCACTCTGGTATTTAAAAGTTTTACAGTCGAAAATAAAGGCAATACAAATAGATTAAAATCATTTTCAAATTCTCATTGTGGCTTTATTTGAGAAGCAGTTGCTCAGATTGTTATGATTAACTTATTATATCATAAATTTAGTTGTATTTTTATGAAGACTGTACAAAAATATCACAAGTAGTTTCAACTAGTTGTGTAATTATTAACTCTGACTTTAGATCTAATTTTCAGCTCAAATATTTGGCCATATTGATAAAAAGCAACGAAGTATCAGGATCTGTGATCCTATTTTGTTTAGATAAACTTTTAACGAACTCGGCTTTAGAGAAACAACAAAATTATATACAGTTTATATAATTTCGATTAATTTTACAATGATCGTTACATTAAGTGATTACAAACTACTTACTGAATGTATGTAATGTGTGCACTATGTTTCTTACAAAGGTCACTCATTATTCAATTAGTGTTAAATAGGTATGAACAGTTTTAGGAAAGATAGTCATAATAAACATTTGTTACAAACAATGAAGGATAGTCTTACCACTTAAATGACAAACTATTATAAGCTTTACAAATTTACTTTTTTTGATTAGGAAATGATCAAATTTATACCTAATAACTGGTCACAGTCAATTTATTAATTTTTATATATTTTAAACTTAAGTACCAGAAACTAGTTGGGTTAAGGTTTACCCAGATTAAAAGTAAGCTTTAACTGTTGAGCTAACTACAATTACTCAAGGTACATAGTCACCATACCACTGGTTAATGACCACAAACATTCTGACACGTTAATTAAAGATAAAATATTTACATTTCTCCTACAGATATGAACTCTTTTTATTTGATCTAAACAGAGGTTGTACAAATTTGGACTTAAATATTTTTTGGCATAGGATAGTCACTTACTATAACTGAAGTGCATTAAGGTTAAAAATCTTACTAATTTAAATAAAAGTAAATAACCAGCGTTGTAAGACATATGTATCAATCACTTTTAGGCTCTTAGATTATTAAATGAGTATTGTTAATGATGAATTAATGTTCCTGAACAAAACCGTTTAGGTTATGTAGTTGAGTTCTCTTTGTATATAGATAATTAAGAGAGATGAGTCGTTATGTCAAAGGTTATAGTAGACTTATTTTGCAAATATTAATTGCCCTAATAAATGTAACGCAGTGTCGGAAATGAAAGACTTCACTCGTATTTCATTTAGATTATCTCAGCTTTATTCTTGCTGCATCTATGATCTCATAGACTCTACACTCTTAAAACTGACGTCTAACCTGTCTACAGAACATATACAAACAACCATATAAGCCAATTTGTTTTGCTTAGTAGTTCCACAATTTATATTAATTATGATATTCTTAAACTATCCAACCATTTATAGTGAATAGACTGCAACACAAAAATTTATTTTATCCTGTCTCGTAATTATGATTAATCATTAGACTAAACAAATGGTTCTAATTTAACTGAATTCATTATGTAACAGTCCAAGAAATTTCTATTTATATGAGTGATCAGTACGACTATATAGTCTACCATAAACTATGTATTTTATAACCGAATTCACTTTGGCTAAAAAAATTTAAAAATAACATACAAACGGAAGATTAATTGTTACTATTTACTATTCGTTGTAACTGCATTAATATTCCAGTTATTACTTGTAATAGGAGCAGAACACTATAAATCTAATCAAGATATATCAAACATTAAATTTTAAACTTAACTTCTAAAAGCAGTACAAAATGTATAATATAATATTAGTGATAGTTATAAGATCACCCGTCGATAACTCTAACTTAAATTGACATTATTTATTGAAATTCCTTTATAATTATTTTATAAAATAACTGAACTAAGAGCTATCTATCATACATATATATAAATATATATTCTATATATTGTGTGTAAATACTTCACCGTGGTAATATTATTATCTCTATCAATCAGTCATTCAGTTTTGACATTATTTTTACTGTATGTTTCATATGATTATTATTATTATTACTGTTATTGCTAAATAAACAAGAAATAAATAAGTTCTCTAATTATTTTTTTTGAAAAAAACTTCATTCAATTATAATCTCTCACTTTTATTTCATCTTTTGTTTTTGTAATTCCCACAGTTATTGAAAATAGCTCATTATAACAATTTGATTTTTTTTAAAGAAAAAACAATAATGTTCAATGTTCATTGTTATGATGATGTCGACTGACAATGTTATTCCATAAAGTAAATACATAATAATAATAATGAAAGTTTAATTATGTTAATCATAAAACAGTGTTGTTTCATTCAACATAAAACATTATAAAATTTTCAACAAATAATGAATAAAGGGTAGAATCTACACTTTCTTTTTTTTCACTGAATAACTGTCAGGATCTTATTAAACTAATTAGTTTATATAAATTGATGGACAATAATAGTAGAATTTTCTTGTAATGTTGACAATAGACAGAGAAATATTAAAAAAGAGAAACAAATAAATAATAAAGATGAAATGGTTTACGAGTGCGCCTTTTGCACATCGCAAAAGGCGCACTCGTAATCGCAACCCATGTTTACATACCTAACCTTTACATCCAAAAGAAATTTGTACAACCACTTTCACTATCTTGGCCATCGGTATAAGAGTACTTGCAACAAAACTAATTTTCGTACTTTTTCCACTTGGCTCTTTTTATTTTTTGTTGTTTTTTTTAATTTTCTCGTTTTCTCAACATTCATCTCTTGATTCCTATATTACTACTATTCTATTGACCATCCATTAAAATATTCTGTTCCTTCACTTTTTCATATATTATGCAACGTAGTAACTTCTTGATTTTCGAATAACTACTTTGAATATTATTAATCCTCTTTCTTGCAAGTATTCAATGTTAATTTATAATCGAAATGTCATTATGTAATTATTGAAATGGTTATGTTTTATTTTTTTTAAAAGAAAAATTCTAAATATTTAATTTTATTTCATTCATTTTAAAAATCTATTTATCAAATGAAATTTATTTTACTTATTCTTGTTATCTTTTTTTGTTTATTTAATAGATTATTCAAATATTTAGAACAGAATTATGTAAATATCAATTAAGGCTTTTAAGTCTTTATTTTGGATTTCTTTATCGATTAGTTCTTTTAATTATTACTATTACTTTTATTTAATATGAATCTAATTTTCATACATTTAATTAGTAAAACAAATGTTTTATTGTTTTGTGTATTATACTACAATGATGTTCAATGTTCAGTGGTGTTTGTTTAATGAAACAAATATTAGGATCAAACTATGTGGGATAGAATGTTAAGTTTTAATCTTCCTATTGATGTTCAGGATTGAAATTGATCAGTATTTTATTGATATATGTGCATCCTGTATGGACTGTTTTGATATTCCTTTGTGTCACAAGAGTTGTAAGCAGAGATAAATATTGGCTAGCAGTGGAATTGATGACGTGAGTTTCGTCCCATTTTGAACCCGTTGGCTGGATGTATCTGCATTTCAGAGTTGATGTTCAATCTGGAACTGTGAGATGTAGGTACATTCATATGACGAGTTCCAAATGGGATGAAACTCGCGTCCTGAATTCCACATATCTTTGCTTATAAGAACTTATGGTCTTATTCATATTTACAACATGATTTGTTTGCATGGAAGAAGTTATTTATTAAAAGTATATTCTACATTGTAACTGTTTGCTTTATTCATTTTAAAATCAAAATTAATTTTATGCATGTATTTTCACTGGTGAAAAAAAATAATTTAAACTAATTATTTATCTAAAATAAACAAAACTGTTTTAAGGAATGCTTCTAAAAATATATAAATTTATCTATAATTTCAATTGTGAACATAGTAAATGATGTATTTATTAGTTAATCTTTGAACACCAATTATCTACAGAATAAAAACTAAATTATTGTATTAACCAATAGAGTGAATACATCAACTTTGAGAGAAATCTAAGTATATTAAGGAATTCATCATGAGCATTGATGTACCGAATGCAAATATAGAGAATAATAATAATAATATTATAACAATATTTATTCTCATTATTAATTAATATTTAACATTAGTAGAGGCTTTAAAAAGAACTTAGTATGTATAGAATGTATTCATAATCTACTGATGGTAAATTAATAGTACATTTTTGATAAATTTATTGAGTTACATTACAGATTAGTCCTTGTTATAGTTATGCATTTGGGAAGATTGGCACATTTTTTTTCTTCAATATACACTACATTAAAAAATATAAAATTTTAATTTATTCTGTTTCAGTATTTCAAATAGTTTTATATTCATAGGTATATCAATGCTTGATTTCTCTTTTGATTTCTAATTTTGTTAATATATCATAAAAGATAGCATAGATTGTGAGCTGGATCAAGGACTTCATTTTCTTCTTATTCATTCGGAAAACCATGTCAGAGTAGCAGTAATTATTATAGAATAAACTATAATTTTCTAAACTCTCAATACCTAAAGAAGTATTTGCGCACTGCTGAGGATTCCCACAATAAAACAAAACGGCTGTCCAGTGCTTCCATGTTTTTCACGGTGGTCTAGCTTAAATTGACTCATGAACTAAACTATTAAGTTACCCAAAGGAGTATTTATTTTTTCGTTTTCTAATGCTTTATTTCCCAGAATAAAAATTTGACGAGTTGAAAGATAAAGTCTCATAGCAACATTTTAAATATCATGAGAGAGATATTGTAGAGATTTTACGATTGAATGATTATATTAAAGAGAAAAAATGTATTTGTAAAATCTCAGCGAATGAATTTTAAGTAAATCCAACGTTTCGCCTGGCAATCTGGTCCAAGCTTTTTCAAGGAAAATATAATCAAACAACAAAATTATCGAATATAAATAGGTACATGGTTCTCTGGTTTACTGTATACTGAATAAGTCATCCAATCAACGTGAACAATGTTTAAAGTAGGTATTTAAATTACTGTGTAAGAGACTTGTGTTATGAAAAACGAAAAGTGTTAAGATAACAATCTGTTATCAATACCAAATAAACGATAGTAAGTCAGTTTATCGATGATAAGAAACTAATTAAAGTAAAATATTCCTTCTTTTTCTTTTTTTTTAATTAAGAATATTTGGTAAACATGCAATATAATGTAACTAATTTTTCACAACAAAATATATTTTTGAAAAAAAAACAACTTACTTTTAACTCTTTTATCTTCATCACTACCAAATAAAGGTAGATTTGTTCCTTGCCAACTATATTCTTGATTAGGTGTATTAGATAATGCCATTATGAATTAATTTATCGTTTAGAATGTTTGTTTATATGTGTTTTTATTGGTGGGGAAATTCAAAATGCTCTTCTAATAAATTATATTCTACAATATGGCACACTCACGAAATATAATTATTACATTAAAAGAATATTTCATATTGTAATTTTATTTATATATTTATATTTATTTGTATAGGTGCATAATCATTCTCAAATTAATTACTACTTAAATAAAATGCATTCTTAACATTTGGTATTGGTTTGAATTAGTTAAACACTATGTGTGTACATATGTTAGTTGGTATATGAGTAATATTTGTGCATAGCATATGTAAATAACGTGGTAATTGAGATAAAGTACTTAAATGACCCAATCTACGTATATAGCTACTCGTATGCCATTTTTAGGCCTTTGATTGACATTTATTTAAGATAATAAAAAGATTTCGTTAAATTGTAAAAGGAATTTTACATTAAATATACTTCACTGACTTACTATATATTCCTATTTTTATACACTTTAATATTAATTCAGTGAGAACATAAACATACTATAAAGTTCATCTTTGATTTTAAATAATTTCGTTTCAAACACATTCAAGGGATAAGATTTCCTATCTTAGATACACTTTCAAAAATTAATGACCTCGATTTTTATTGGTAAATTTAGACTGAAGCATAATAAGTTGTCGAAATTTTCTTCTAATCTTATCACGAAAACAATATTTTCACCAAAAAAAAAGAAAATCAATATCTTAAAAATTGATAGAACTTCTAAATAAATTCAACTACGGTTTTGTTCTTCACGAATCAGTTGTACAACCTAACTATGGGGCTTGTTCCGATCTATAAACACTGGATCCTTAAATAATTCAAGAATGTTACATTTATTAGACAGTAAATGATTTCCTGTTTATCTTGTTTGGAAATTATTACTATTTTATTAACTATCCTACAGGATTTTGTAAAAATATAAACTGGCATTAATCTTGTCAAACTATTTTTACTAGAAATAAAAGTTAGCTAAACGTGTGCAACGATCGCATGTGGACGTAGCATAGTTGTATGAAGGAGGTAAAATTGATTTTCGAATTGGAAACACTAAATAATACAGCATAAAATCATGACAAGTAAATATCAGCTAACTTTTACTTAATTGTAAAATTTTATACTTCGAATAAAGAGGTTTCTTTATAGTTTTTTTGACAAAATATAAGACACGTGTATTCGATCTGATAATGTGTATGTTTTCTATATTGTTCAACTTATACAATCAATCAACCAGATTTATTTATGAAAAGTTATATCTAACAGACGAATAAGATTCAAAGTGAATTTACGTTTTTATCAGAATGGGGGTTCATGGAAATTGTAGTAATTTCAATAGTTGAATTCATGAGTCGATCTAAGCCAGACCACTATTGACGACTTAGAAGCACAGGACGGTCGGTCCCTCTAGACCACTGAACTGGCATCCAACGGTGTTAACGCATAACTTTAATCGATCCACTACCTTGTACAATCATTTACCCATTGTCTGAGGTAGACACTTGTCTCGAGTCCCGCATGCGGGATTGTAGATGCTCACTGCTAAGGAGTCCCGTACTAAGACGAAACGACAGTCTAGTGCTTCCAAGTTTTCAAGAGTGGTCTAGCTTAGATCGAATCAATAGTAATGTCTGACTTGATAAAGTCAACAGTATATGTATAAACTGGAGCGAGGTATAATGCACTCTATAAAAGTAGTCAAGTAGAATGACGATGTGCTATTAATAAAACTATCAATATAGAAGTTGGTTCGATGACTATATCAAATTATTTATTAAAAAGTTGGTTCGTAATTAAATGAAGAAAGTAATCGGGACTAAAGAATCTATATTACTTGGGCGAGACTCTAATTTATGGACGAGCCAATCAGAAACCTTTTCGAGATTTCAAGGTTACGGCACCAACTTCAATGTCTAATGCTAATGTAAGATCGGTTCACAAGGAATTTTGTACAAAACGTGATAATTGAGCGGCTATGACAAATAAAACGGCGAGACTATAATTTGTGGACGAATCAATCAGGTATAAGATAACAGATCTTGGATTTTAACGCGAAAGGCTTTCATCCATTTGGCTAAATAAATTTCTGGCATTGTAGCTGAAGTCAGTTCGTGATGAAAACCCTACATATACTTCCTAACTAAGGCAAATTATGACAACTATTGTGAACTGGATAATAAAATTACCAGTAACACTGGCTGCGGCCAGGCACTACAATATATACGGATGTTTGGCGAGCGTACAGACTGCTACATACGTTTGGTTATGTGCATCGTGTCGTTATCCACAAGTAGCATTTTGTGTACTCAACAACCGAAGTGCACATAAACAACATTGAAACTATGTGGTCCAGGCTGAAAGAGATTTTGAGACTTTATCATGACTCCAGAGTCCGACTATTCTGTAGTCGTATGGATGATTTCCTCAACTGCATGTATTACGATTTTAGAAGCTCTGAACCTCTTTCTAACCTTGACAAGTTTTTGAACCACGTATAATAAGTGTATTCACTTTATTTCCTTGGTTTTGTATAATATATTTTTACTCTATACTAACTGTTTGCTGATTGACTAATATTCTCAAGGTCACTTGAGACTTGTTCAAAGGTCGTCCATAAATTATAGTCTCACCAATACTTGATACGTGGTTACTAACGGAAGTTTGTAGAAAATGTTTACATCAAAGACTGACCATGCAATCAATTAAAACTGTAAATCGAACAATTTCAACAAACATTCTAAGTTGATAATATTCAAGTATTTCTTGACTATAGATGTGAGAAAAAGTTCAAAAGTTTTGGTGAGAAGACATGATCAGAGTGGTCCAACCAAACTGAATGCAAGATAGGTATAAATAAAAGCAATAAATGCAGTTCACAGAATATTGTGAATAGACTGGAGTTAGAAATCCAAATCGCTGAATGCAAGTCCAGTGTTGTGAAAATTAAAAGCCAACAGGGAATCCTGAAGTCATATTTTCAATCTCTGGTGGGATCTCAGATTACCAATACAAGTCCCATACTAGGACAATAAACCATTCAATGTATCTTGCTTTCTAACTGTTGTTTAGTCTTTGATTTAAACTACGAGTTATATATTTGTTACAATAATTTTAAATAACTGAATGAACTAAATTCGCTCAGTTTAAAATTTATTTATTTACTAGCAAAATCAATTAAAACTATCATGACGGTAATAAACAATGAACTTATACTAAATCTAAGTGTTTTGATGACTTTTTTTGAGTTAGTAACAACCAATAAATATGAGCACATTTATCGATTATTTTTAATGACTCATTATTTCTTTTGATATTTACACAATGTACAGTTGTACTGTAAAAAGTTAAGTATCATTGATTCTTAAATTCATTTGAATTTACTTTAGAACACAAACTTAAAGATTTTCCTATTTTCTTCTAATGTATATGACTTGGTGTATACGTTAATATGGGTTAACTCTGACTGACGGTATATGCGTATACCTACTTTCCTAGTTTAGTAAAAGTCTTAATTTTATTACCCTACTAAAATTCTGAACCTAATATGACAAGTAAGTCAGTCAGTAGCAACGTAGAACTTCGTACGTACGTACATCAGTTCGACTTGCCTTACCACATTAGCACAGAAATGCAGTTATCGATTCAAATCCCGTAGTGGTAGAGGTAATAAAAGTATAAGCAGTAATCCAGAAGATTACAGTTTGAAGATATTATGCAAGGAGTATAATACAGTGAAATAAATTTGGAAAGAAAAAAGAAAGGGACATGAAGAATTCAGATTAGAATTTGGGAGAACACAAAGAGTGGATGCACCTGTGCCATTGCAAATGATTATTAGATAGTAAACTTTATTTCATGCTATCAATACTCTACCACTTCTAATAGTCTTTCGATAAAATACAAACTTTACCGCTTACAGAATTATATCAACTTTAGAGGAGACAATTTATGTGGAAACCAAAGATAAACCAATCAATATAGCATCAAATTTCTGTGAATGAACCATTTAACCAAGAAGTTTTGACGAATAATATTTGAAAGTTGAATTGTGTAAATAATTTAGTGGCAAATGAAGGCTACTTTATTCCAAACAGCACGGTTCCATTTTTTTAATAACAAATAATTAAGTTAAATTACCCTTAAACAAAACTATGAGCTTTTCTTGTATTACCAAATAGGATCAAAGTAGGTAACATTTATAGTTTGATTTAGTTTCTTTTAATTCAGAGTAACTCTTCTATCACATACATGATATAACAAGACAGAAGCATCTATATATAGCATTTATTAACGTCAAGTATCTGTTTTGAGTGCTATTTGTAAATGATATTATAGATATTATCACAGTCTTGCGATTTTTAATTAAAGTCACTTATAGGTTGTTGTGAAGGTTGTAATTCAGAATCCTTAAATGATCTTAACAGTTTGTAAAATTTTCTACCTAGTTTTGCTACTACAGTCTAGCTGATTATTTTTTCAAAAAACTTTTTACTAATACAAAAGTCAGTCAGCTACAACCTGGGACCAAGTACATATATGCATCGGTTCAAGTTGCCATATCTCATTAGCGCAACAAGATGGACACTGAATTCATAGAAGTATTTAATTCAATAGTAGTAATATATAAAAGACAGATTGCATATAAAGAAATAGTACAGGAAGAAAGAATTAGGTAGTAGAAAGAAAGATAATAAGAGTAATATTTCAAACAAGTAATCATTAACAAAATGAATTACTACAATTCAAAGTCTAATAAAAAAATAAGAACAAATTTTGTTTATATCACTTTATTGAATATATTACTTATTAAAACTGTTTTCAATAGAAAATAGAAAAATTTACAAATTATACATCATTTTCATGCAGCTGATTTAATTTATTGCAAGTTTTAGAGTAAAATTTAATCATAACTACTCAAGAAACTGAAGGTCTGTATATATATATATATATATATATATATATATATATATATATATAAAGAGTTGGTTAACATAAAAGAATACAGAATACTTTTCACTTTGTATGTCTTTTGTGGAATATTTTACTGACACGTACACATGATATTAAATTGCCTATTTATAATACATTTCAAGTATAGAAATAATTCAATGATTATGAAAATGAATAACAATATCCTAATAAAATTCATTTATATGTAAACATATTCTCTTC